AAAAAAAAGTAGGCCCATAGGCCTGGCATGGTGGCTCATGCCTGCAATCCCAGCACTTTGGGAGGCTGAGGCGGGTAGATCACCTGAGGTCAGGAGTTCAAGACTAGCCTAGCTAACCTGGTGAAACCCCATCTCTACGAAAAATACAAAAATTAGCCAGGCGTGGTGGCAGGGACCCGTAATCCCAACTGCTCAGGAGGCTGAGGCAGGAGAATCACTTGAACTCAGAGGCGAAGACTGCAGTGAGCCCAGATGGTGCTATTGCACCCCAGCCTGGTGACAGAGGGAGACTCCGCCTCAAAAATAATAATAATAATAAAAATAAATAAAAATAAAAATAGTAGGCCGGGTATGGTGGCTCACACCTGTAATCCCAGCATTTTGGGAGGCCTAGGTAGGTGGATCATGAGGTCAGGAGTTCGAGACCAGCCTGGCCAACATGGTGAAACCCCATTTCTACTAAAAATACAAAAATTATCTGGGCATGGTGGCAGGCGCTTATAATCCCAGCTACTCGGGAGGCGGAGGCAGGAAAATCGCTTGAACCCAGGAGGCGAAGATTGCAGTGAGCCAAGGTTGTGCCACTGCACTCCAGCCTGGGTAACAGAGCAAAACTCCATCTCAATAAATAAATAAATAAAATAAAATAAAATAAATAGGCCAGGCGTGGTGGCTCACGTCTGTAATCCAAGCACTTTGGAGGCCAAGGCGGGTGGATCACCTGAGGTCGGGAGTTCAAGACCAGCCGGACAAACATGGTGAAACCCCCGTCTTAAAAAATAAATAAATAAATAAATAAAAATATAAATAAAATAAATAAAAATTGTAAAATACACACAACATAAAATTTGTTATTAATAACATTAATACATACACAATATTGTACAACTGTCACCACTACCTAGTTCTAGAACATTTTCATTGCCTAAAAGGAAACCCTGAACCCAGTAGTCACTTTCCATCCCCTCCCTCAGTCTCCACAGACTCCGGCAATCACCTATCCACTAATCTGCTTTTTGTCTCTATAGATTTGTCTATTTAGGTTATTTCAAATAAATAGGATTACATAATACGTGGCCTTTGTATCCAGTTTATTTCACTTAGCTTAATGGTTTCAAGGTTCGTCTATGTTGTAGCATATATTCATTCCTTTTTATTGCTTAATACTATTCCACTGTGTAAATACACCACATTTTGTTTACCCATTTTCATGGGTTGATGGACACTTGGGTTGTTTCTACTTTTGGCAATTGTAAATAGTGCTGCTAAAAATAAACATTTGTGTATGAGTTTTTGTTTGAATATCTGTTTAAAATTGTTTTGGGTATACATCCAGGAGTAGAAGTGCTGAGTCAATGCTAGTTTTATGTTTAGCTTATTGAGGGACTGCCAATGTTTTCCACAGCAGTTGTACCATCTTACATTCCCACCAGCAACATCTGAGGGTTCCAATTTCTCCACATCCTTATCAACGCTCATTTTCTGCCTTTTGTTTGTTTTAATTTTAGCCATCCTAGTGGGTGTAAAGTGATATTTTATCAACTTGGTTTTGATTTGCATCTCCTTAATGGCTAATGATGTTGAGCATCTTTTCATGTGCTTCTTGGCCATTTGTATATCTTCTTTGGAGAAAGGTCTATTTAAGTCTTTGCCCATTTTTCTTTCCTTTTACTTCACCTGTGACTATAGACAGGATTCAAAGAGGAGTTTTCCAGTCTCCTCCCTGAGTTTAATGGAGACTTACCTTACCCCTCTGTGTTATTTTTTAATTTGGTTGTCTTTTTGTTGTTGAGTTGTAGAGATACCAACTTTGAAATGAACTGACTCTCCAGCCCAGGCCTTCTAGCACCTCATTTAAAGAGCTCCTCTTCTTCTTTTAAGTCTATGTACAGGCAAATAGCTTCAAGAAGTTGCCGGGCGCGGTGGCTCAAGCCTGTAATCCCAGCACTTTGGGAGGCCGAGGCGGGTGGATCACGAGGTCAAGAGATCGAGACCATCCTGGTCAACATGGTGAAACCCCGTCTCTACTAAAACTACAAAAAATTAGCTGGGCATGGTGGCGCGTGCCTGTAATCCCAGCTACTCAGGAGGCTGAGGCAGGAGAATTGCCCGAACCCAGGAGGCGGAGGTTGCGGTGAGCCGAGATCGCGGCATTCCACTCAAACAAAGAACCTGTTAAAAAATGGGACCTCAAAGAAAAAAAAAAAAAAAAAAAAAAGAAGCCCTTGATGTCATTGTCTTGCGACAAAGCAAGACTCCAGGTCAAAAAACGAACAAACAAACAAAAAAGGAGGCCCGGCATGGTGGCTCAGGCGTGTAATCCCAGCACTTTGGGAGGCTGGGCTAGTCTCGAACTTCTGACTTCCAGGTTGTCCCAGACTCCTGCAGTTTTTTGAGTTCCCAAATCTCAAAATTGGCTATGTATCCTTAGTTCTTCTGCTGCACGTTGGCCTTTACTATTTTGGCTCTATTAATAATGAGAAAAGTAGCCAGAGCGGTGGCTCATGCCTGTCATCCCGTCACTTTGGGAGACTCAGTCTGCAGCATCGCTTGAGCCCAGGAGTTCTGGTTACAGTGAGCTATGATATTGCCACTGCACTCCAGCCTGGGTGATAGAGTGAGACTTTGACTCTAAAAAACAAAAAAGATGAAAGAAGAAACAGTTATACAAAAATTCGTACAGGCCGGACGTGGTGGCTCACGCCTGTAATCCAAGTACTTTGGAGGCCAAGGCTGGCGGATCACCTGAGGTCGGGAGTTCAAGACCAGCCTGACCAACATGGTGAAACCCCGTCTTAAAAAAAAAAAAAATCTGTAATCCCAGCTACTCAGGAGGCTGAGGCAGGAGAATTGCCTGAATCTAGGAGGCGGAGGTTGCGGTGAGCCGAGATCGCGCCATTGCACTCCAGCTTGGGTAACAAGAGTGAAACTCTGTCTCAAAAAAAAAAAAAATCATGCATTAGATTGGTTCATTTTTTTTTCTTTTTGAGACAGAGTCTCGCTCTATTGCTGTGCAGATCTCAGATCACTGCAACCTCTGCCTCCCAGGTTCAAGCGATTCTCGTGCCTCAGCCATAGGGTAGCTGGGATTACGGGCGCGCGCCATCACTCCCGGTTAATTTATTTCGTATTTTTAGTAGAGACGGGGGTTTCGCCAAGGCGGCCAGGCTGCTCTCGAACTTCTGACTTCAGGTGATCCGCCCGCCTCGGCCTCCCAAAATTCTGGGATTACAGGCGTGAGCCACTGAGCACATTCTTGATTTGAATATGAATGTCCCAACACCCCCAAACAAGGTGACCCCATTTACAACTGGATTTTCAAGAAGCATCTGGTGATTCAATTTCTGCCAATTAGAAAGAGCTAAAGCACGACACGCAGGCGCCTTAACGCTGAGGGCATAACGAAGGTAAAGAAGGCGTGGCTACTGCCCAAATCCAAGATGGCCACCAGGAGGCAGCCGGTTCTCGGAAGGGCCGCCCATCCTCGCTCCTGGGGAAGGCTCAAAGGCTCAAACGCCATTGGCGGAATCGCCGACCGCTCATCCTCGGGGGGCGGTATTGACAGAGTCCAAATTTCCGGTTCCGGCAGTACCGGGAGCCGAATCGAGATGGAGGAAGATGCGACCGGCGGACGGCATTCGCTGGGAGCGGCCGATAGAGTTGGGGCTGCGGCCTAGAGGTCCGGGCTTGGAGTTTGCCTCAGACGCGGTGAAGCCGCCGGAGTCTGAGAAGGTAAGAAACCACCGGCTCGGGGTGCCTGACAACTCAGGTCTCTGAGGATCTGCACTTGTCAATGAGGCAGAGGATGTCTACGGTGCCATGCAGTTTGGGGAATGAAGGACAACTCCGGTGAGGCATCTCTTCTTGGCAGAGGAGCGTGAGATTAGCTGACAGCGGAAGAAGCATGGCAAGGGGCATGTTCGAAGACCCGGAGTGCAGGGGTGGGGTGGGGGGCCAGGACAGAGGCTGCATAAAGGGGTTGTCCCATGGAGTATGTAGAGAGGATTGTCATGTGGTGTCTGTGATGAGGGATCACGTGGATACCTATGGAAGACCAAAGGAAAGCTGGGTGGGAATCTCACCATGTCCGAGGTAGGGAGGAGATTATCTCGAAGGAGAGGTCAGAGGCATCCCCAGGGACCTCCCTTAGGGAAATGTATGTTCAGTAGGACAAGAGGGCAAACACGTAAATATATTCACGTTCATGTGGTAGATAGCTCCCAGGATGTAGATGCAATAGGGAAAACAGAAGGAATGGAGAATGTTGGTCTCTACTCTCCCTGTTTCCAGCCGAAAAGTGGGGACCCATGGGTGTCTTGTTTGTAGAAGATGATTTGATTTGAAAAGATATGAATCGATCAGGTGGTCATCATTGTGCTCAGTTCCAGTGACAAGTTAGTATGGAGTCAGAGCGCTCCTAAACTAGCCATAATGGTCCCAGAGTCCTGGAGTAGTTGTTATAATTCTTATAATACTGACAATCCTTAATATTTAAAGCTATGCTTTAAATATTCTTATTCAGCAGGTCTAGGGTGCACTCTGAAATTCTGTATTTCTTTTTTTTTTTTTTGAGACTGAGTCTTGCTCTGTCGCCCAGGCTGGAGTGCAATGGCATGGTCTTGGCTCACGACAACCTCCACCTCCTGGGTTCGAGCAGTTCTCCTGCCTCAACCTCCTGAGTAGCTGGGATTACAGGTGCGTGCCACCATGCCTGGCTAATTTTTGTATTTTTAGTAGAGATGGGGTTTCACTGTGTTGGCCAGGCAGGTCTTGAACTCCTGACCTTGTGATCCACCTGCCTCGTCCTTGCAAAGTGTTGGGATTACAGGCGTGAGCCACTGTGCTGGCTGAAATTCCATATTTCTAACAGACTCCCAGGTGATGTCCATGCTGCTAGTCTGTGGCATTTGATGTCCATGCTGTAGTCTTCCTTGGGTAGTAAGGAATTAGAGCATCACTGTCCAGTAGAACTTTTTGTAATGATAATGCTTTACTGTTAACAAAATGCCTCCACAATTGTTAACTCATATGAGTTGCACCACAACTCTTATACAACATTGATAGGTTTTATTAGCCTGATTCAACAGATAAGGAAATTGAATTTCAGTGAAGTGACTTGGTTCCAGTTTACAGTACTGAGTAATGGAAGTGAAACTCAAACATGGATCTCCTGATTGCTGGTATTCTTCCCATTGTATGACCTTGCCTTCCAGGTGACACTTCCTTCTCTCGAGCCAGAATCTTATCCCAGAACCTAGTGAATAGTCCAAGGTGAATTTTCTTTTTTTTTTTTTTCTTTGGAACAGAGTTTCGCTCTTGTTACCCAGGCTGGAGTGCAATGGCGCGATCTCGGCTCACTGCAACCTCCGCCTCCCGGGTTCAGGCAATTCTCCTGCCCCAGCCTCCTGAGTAGCTGGGATTACAGGCACGCGCCACCATGCCCAGCTAATTTTTTGTATTTTTAGTAGAGACGGGGTTTCACCATTTTGACCAGGATGGTCTCGATCTCTTGACCTCGTGATCCACCCACCTCAGCCTCCCAAAGTGCTGGGATTACAGGCTTGAGCTACCGCGCCCGGCCCCAAGGTGAATTTTCTTATACAAGGAGAGTAGAGGTGGAGAAGAGGACGCATATGCCCCCGGGCCAATTTGTCCCTTTCCATTGGTAGGGTCTGAAGTGGGAGCTCTGCCTCTAATATATCACTTGATGACTTCTAGACAAAGTGCTCGCCAATTCTGGGTCACCTGTTAGGTCCCCAGAGAAAGCATTTCAACATTTGTGCCTGAGCAGTGTGAAAAAGTGGAAGAAAATCCAGAATTGGAGCCAGGCACATGAGGGTCTGAGAAAGAGCCATAAAGAAGTTGGGCTGACTGAATTGGGAGAAGGGAAGGCTGAAGGAACTTTGCATACAGGTATCTGCAAAGAGGATTTTTCAGAGGGTAAAACAAGAAGAATGGGATTGATATTTCCGCAAGAAGTTTGGAAGTTATGTAACAAAGAGCAGGTTGAGATCCCACCTTTTAGGAGCAGCCTGCCCCTTTTGAAGGGATAAAGGGAATGCGTGCAGTGCCCGCTCCCCTTCTGTTGTAGTGGCTTAGCCCTCTGAGGCATGACCCCCGGATAGGAGTTACCTGCCTCAGAAAGTCCTCACTTCCTTGTGGGAGTTTAAAATAGATTGACATATGTGAGAGATGGAGGCAAGCGGGGAAATTGGATCCTGCCTTAGGATTTCTCATCAGGAGATGCTGGTACTTGGTGGTTCAGCTTGATAAATTGAGAAGGTGCCATGAAATCAGGTCCTGGAACAGAATCCCTGGTTGCTCTGTGTTTTAGTTGCTCTGACCCTCTGCCCTGCAGAGCACGCATTTTGCATGTGCCTGGCAGGAGGCCCTCCTGCTTGAGCCCTGCTGTGTTTGTCTTGTGTTGACAATGTGACTGCTCAGCCAGTAAGTTTGGTCACTCCACAGACACACTAGGAAAGCAGAGGCAGCTCTTGGTTTCTCTGGAACAGAGCTACAAGAAGTCTTCGAGCATCTGCATGGCCAGGAGCTTATGCTTAATTGTTGAGTGACCTGCAGCGATAAGGGCATTAATTTTGCCTCCCAGAGGTGGGAATGACTTGGCTTTAAACAGTGATTTGTGTTAGAATTCTTCAGATCCCATGGGGTAGAAGGCATGGTGGAGCAGAGGAGAATTCTTGACTCATATCTGCCTTTCCATTGACCAGTTATGTGACCTTGGGCCTGTTACAGTAAACGTATCTGACCCTCCATTTCCTCATTTATCAGAAGTGTCTAACTGTACACTAGTTAAATTGTAAGGATTACACGAGATAGTAGTCAGTCAATCCTAGTGTTTCTCTGTATCTTCTCACCAGTGTTGGAAATATGATCTTGCAGCCCTGAATGGTAGTCACTCTGGGGCAGGAGAGACCGTGACCACCTTTTGAAGGGCAATATTCTCAAAGGAGAATATTGTCCCGCAGGACTTAGTGGATCCCTGAGGCTGAGGCTGGGGAGGAAGGCCACCTTTGCCTACAGCAAGTGGCATATCATTGTTGTAGGGGTTCTCTTGACGGCAGAACTTTGCCTCTAGCTCATTTTCCACAGCCTAGATTTTCCAGTCTTGCTAATCCAGTTGACTTCTGTCTTCTCATTTCCAAGCCATTGTTCTCTCTCTTTCACTATCTACATGGATTATCTTTCATTCAAAGGGCTTTGACCTGTAGGAAGCCTGTGTGGGTTCTGTGCCCCTCCCTCATTACTTACCTTGAAGCTGAGGTTTTCCCTCAACTCTCAAGTACTCCGTTTGTACTGCAGGTCGTCCCTATTTCAATGAAAGTGATATGGTCCAGCTCAGGGAATCCCGAAAAGCTGCCCTTGCTTCCTTGGTAAGCCAAAGGTGGTTCTCATGGAATAAAAGCTACCTGAGACCTGAGTTGGGACCTTTGCTTGGGGAAGGGGGTCGAGGATGGACTCTGATTAGATGCTTGGCACCAGGTTTGCCACCGGAACTGCTAGTGTAGGATGTTTCAGCCCCCTAGAGTTGTCCCTGTGATGTGGCCACTTCCTTTCTCAGCTGTTGGGATTTCTTTTAAAGTCTGGGGAGCCCCTGCTTCTCACTTCCTGGGATTTATCTTCCCACTCTCCCTTTCTGGCTGAAAATTTCTAGTATCTTACCGAACAGTGGTGGGCTACACTGGAGTACATCATATTACCACATATAAGTATGTCTAATAGGGCCGGGCGCGGTGGCTCACGCCTGTAATCCCAGCACTTTGGGAGGCCGAGACAGGTGGATCATGAGGTCAAGAGATCGAGACCATCCTGGTCAACA